GGTTCCCCGGAAAAGAATTGAGCATTGTAACTCAAGTCTTCCAATAGCAAGCTTAGACAAAATGGTATAGTGTTTCACCACTATCCATCCCATAACTCACCATTTGTAAGACCATCATCTCCAAGATGCATCAAGGTAGGGAATCTTGATTGCATATTATGAACATGAGCAATGAGTCAACACCTCGTTGCGAATCATTTCTTCAAGAAGAGAAAATGATTTACGTGTTTGATCCTTTGTCCCCGATGACTCTCTTTTCGGTCTCATCTTTGACCAAACCTCAAGCTTGCTTTCGCACTGCCTTCAGTCCAATCCAAGAAAAGTTTATGAGAGAGCACGGCAATGATTACTTGAACCAATAGACTAATCCCTACAGTCTTGATCGATTCACTTATAATCATGTCTAGGAAATATCTACTAGTGCCGTGCTAAATAACTACGGACTAGCCTATTTGCCACTCATAGCAAACTCAGGGAAGGTTTGCTTTTACCCATGGTACAAGCTACTACAAAACCACTGATAGGCTAACATTAATCCTGCCAACTCAAAGTCTAACCTCAAGTTGCTAATGCGCCTCACTCACGAGCCCAAGCTCAAACTCGTGCTAACGGAACAACTCAATCCATCCTATGAACCCAAGAGCAAGCTCACATCATAAAGTACAACAAGGTAACCAAATCCATATCCAAGGAACAATTGCGAACCCTTTGCACCAAACGTGTACCCACTCGGATTATCGTTTTCATCTCTACGTATGCAACGAGACTAGTTGCCCAATCTCATTGAATAGTACTCGCTGAGATTCATTCTCTGATACTAAATGTAGCACACCTTATCTCTCTCCCCTTAAGCCAACTGGAAAAAGGGCAATTGTTTGATGAGAGAGCCTTTAGTGGCTATTTTATCCCCATTTATCCCCCAAGGTTCTAAGGATCCATGGTGACAGTATATCCAAATCTCATCCCATGATCACATGCGCTACAGTAAGGCAAGAGTGTCCATAAGGACTAGCCAACAGGTAACTTTCGATACCCGAAGTCATATTTGCGATACATCTGAGATAGTTATTTCATTTAATAGATAAAGTTGATGCAAAAGTAAATACTTCCATTATGTTTTATGATAAAATGAGTTTAATACACCTGTAAGGACTCTACAACTTTCAAATAACACCCTTTTCTAACATTTTCTTAATGTTTACACATAAAATCTTGATTTCTTTTAATGGCCAATAACGAATATAAACCTTAATTGAATAAATATCCATAATTAGAATTAAGTTGAATTAAAAATACTTCACTAAAAAACATAACATAATTTAGATAGAGTGAAAAATGTTAATAACATATATTATATATTAATTTATTTCCCCGTTAAGCATATTCTAAGCACCAATCGGACCGTCCAAGCTTTTAGACCTAGAAATGGACGGTCGGTGATTGGACACCGGATATTCTTTTATGGCGCTCAGTTGTGTGTTCCTGGCGCACGGCAGGGTTTGCCCGATTCGCGGTGAGAACCTATCCAATCAATCTCCGTTCTCTTCGACGACAGCATTGGACTGCGAGCAATCGCTACACCGGATTCTCAGCAAGCTGGAATGCTACAAACAGTCGCCATTGGCGGCGCTCCAGTCCGGGCGCTGGGTGAAATTGATTTGCGGAGCAAGCTTTGAGGTGCGTCTCACTGCTGGTTTGCCTCATTTGCAAGATTTCTCGTTTCATTTCTTCCTTGTGTGATCACACAATGTATGGTTCATTTTGATCTAGTGGCAACTCCCTTTTTAATTTCTCGCATCTTTCCAGGACATTGCAGAAGTAAGAAATCTATCACTCATTTATGCTCTTGCTGGTGGTAAGTTTGTCTTTGAAGAAAATAAGCAAACTCTTTGCTTATTTCCTTGCAGTGGACTGCATCGATTGCGCTGCTGATGGAGCAGTAGTGACGGCAGTCAGTGATGGTGTTCGTGCGGCCAAGGAAATCGCTCTGGACTTTGGATATAGTTTGCGTGATCCGTGGCTCATGGTCAGCATAAACGATGACGAGGATCCTCATTTTCGCAAAGCTGGTATGCTCTCGGGAGTTCTAAGTTTTTGTGAAGAAATCTTTTGATTTTCAGCTGGTTTTGGACAGAATTCAATCCAAGGCTTTGTCCTTCTGACTGTCCGCGTCCCTGCGAGCGTGTATGTCCTGCTTCAGCTATTTCTGTCAGCTATCCAGAATCAAGTGGAGTTATTCCGGAACGCTGCTATGGCTGTGGTCGTTGCATTCCAGTCTGTCCCATACGAAACATTCGTAAGTTCTTTCTATTCCATTTTTGTAGGAATGCTAACAAGAACATTGGATCCAGAAGCTGTAACTTACGTACGAAACCTTGAGAAGGTCTCAGAGTTACTGTGCTTAGACGAAGTTGATGCTGTGGAGATTCACACCGGACAAGGGTAGCGTTTTCTATTCCAATTAGTGTCATCTAAAGTCACTAGTGCTAAACTTCTAGACGTTTGGAGGCTTTTCATCAGCTGGTGACAAACCTCGGCAGTTCTTTCGATCATCTAAAGCTTGTGGCGGTAAGCACTTGCTTTCTTTCATGCATTTCTTCACTCGTTTGCAGGTAAGCGTTCCTGACTTGGGCGATTCAATGATCTCTTCCATGACGTCAATGTACGAGAGCATGAAACCATATGTCAAATGTGCAAACCTCTGGCAGGTATTGTTTTCGTTTTGATTTCAACGATGCTATATATGATTCTTTAGCTGGATGGACGTCCAATGAGTGGTGATATCGGCAAGGGTGCTACTCGAGCTGCGGTAATCCTGGGTGGAAGAGTTTTAGCGGCTTTGGATCGTCCCCCAGGTATTTGCCGATCTTTTCACTTAGACCACCAACACTGTTATCATCTTTCCTTTTTGTCTTATTTGCTACAGGTTTCTTACAGCTTGCTGGTGGGACAAATTCACACACCAGAGAGGCTTTAGAGCTCGATGGACTTGTAAACAATGGTTTGTCTTTCACTACTTGGTCGGTTGGTTTTACTATTATACTCTACACAGGCAATGAGTCTATGATTGCTGGCATTGCGGGCATTGCTTTCGGTGGCTATGCTCGAAAGGTATCACTCTTTTATAAGCATTATTCTTCTCTTCCGTGCGGCAAAGACTTAACGTTTTTCCTGTAAAAAAAATCGACCAGATTGTTTGTGGTTTGCTCAAGGAGCTAGAAGCAACAAAGTCTACACGATTGGAGGACCATCCAGAGCTGTTGTTTAAGTCGATCTCTATCACAGGAGAGCTTGTATGGCCCATGAAGCTTTAATCTGGGTGCGCTCGCGCGACTGGTACGCAAAAAAAAGAGAAGAACACATTGTCATGGCGATTAGCTAATGAGTAGTTGCAGGAAAAAACGCATCTCAGGACTGAAGTTTCCAACAAGTTCATGTAAGAACCCTGTTTAAGGTGCCTCTTGATTGTGTCTCTTCATCATTTCCTATACTAATCCTAAAATTATAGAGAAATCGCGAATGGTGGCGGCCGATTCTCTCGAATTGAATGAGCTTTATTCGCTTCATCAAGGTTGGATGAGTGAGAGCGAAGATCTGTCTTCCATTAAACAGATGCCAAGCTAATTATTGAGGAGAAATTCCACACTCCCATTTTTTCCCGGAAGCATGATGAAAAACTTTCCAAGCTAAGAGCAAGACCGGACTCTATGAATGGCTAGCTATCAGCTTTTTATTTTCTTTTCTATGTTTTTTCCTTCGTACTTGGGCTGGAAAATCAGTGCAAACATGATGGTGGTGGATCCTTTCAGGTGGTGAAAGTGGTAAAAGTGGTGTGGAGTGGAATAATGCTGATGAGTTTGGACATGACTCATGAGGGGAGAGCGTTATCTTCTTGTCATGTTATTTAAATGGTACACACTGAGTAGAAGCATAGAGATATTCCCTCCACCAAGCAAGAAAACAAGCTATTTTAGCTTGGTCCCAATGAGAGAATCATCAAAATCTTCAAGGCTCTCTCTCTCTCTTTTCCTTTGAATTTATCTCCTTCAACAGAAAGAAACAAGAAACAAAGGGTGGGCTATGCTCTGAGGGGAGCTTCTTTTTTGTTTGGGCTTTTGGTACTTTGTCATCTGGAGTTTGTTGTTTCTTGACTGGAGAAAGAATGAATGGATTCTTTTCAACTCTATTCTCTTTTTCTCTATCTACTAACTCCTCTGGATGGAGAATATGATCGCCTGATTGAGGCAGTTTCTCAATCACTTATATTCGATCCAGCAAAGAAACAGCAGAGGAAAAAGTGGCACACTTTACATTTTGCCCTTCCACCACCAAGAGCTATTGCACTTTGTACAGCACCTCTGATTGATAGCTTCAACTTGAATCTGAACGAGATCTTGCTGATTTCAGGATCATTCCAGACTTACACTAGCACTGAAAATTGTGAAATTTGAACATAAAAACAGAGCACTCTGTTTTTTTGGTTTTTGCAATCTGGCACAATATCTGGAAAATTGTCACTTTTTGTTCCATCAGCGCTCGCAAAAATTTCTGGCATTCCAGCAGAGGTCCTCTGCTGTGTCGCATGTTATGTGGTCAATTTCCATTCCAGAACCTCTGGATCTTCATAATACTTTCGCCTGTCTTTGTACAATTATATGCTTCTGCCGATCGATTTCGATTGATTTGCACTTCCCTCCTCTTGTTTCCTTTGGATGCGCCCCATTTATGCCATGCCCACCAGACCACACCCCAGCACATAGAAATCATGGATTCTTTCACTGTTTGTCTTTTCTCTCTTTTCTTTTTGGGCTTCTCGGTTCTTGGTGTTGCTGGTTGTTGCTGTTTGATTGATGGACTGATTGATTGATTGGGCCATGCTTCCTTGATGTTGTTTTCTTTCTCTCTCCAAGGCTGCGTAGACAAGACGAATTAATAGTGCTCATCGAGGTGACTTGTTCCCTCGAAATTCTAATCCTTTCTAAAGCACGGCACGGCACGGAGAGAGATGGAACAAACTAAGTTAACAGCGAATGACGTTTTTATAGTACAGCCAGGAGCTCGATTTCCCTGGAGGATTTTTCTTTCAGCGGAGATTTCTCCCTTCCTTTTGTCGTAAGAATTTGCCTAAGTAATCCTATACCACCACCACTGTAAATATGCTACAAAGCTTTCCTTCGTCGACCACCACGAACGATCTTCTCGCAGTCGTGATCTTCCTCCTCTGGCCAGATGTGGAAGTGATACCGTATCCATCAATCAATCAACCGAGTGTGTGAGTCACTGTCCTGTCTGTTTGGTTGTCTCCTCCTGCCTGTGAATCTTCAAGGCCCTGGCCCAGCTTCCCTCGCCAATCCCGAGTACGGTGTAAAGTTTCTAGTACCTCCCAAGTCATAGTCATCGCAGTTACTTCTAGCTCTGATCCCCCGGACAGACTTGAAGAACAACCTGTTGCTGCTCGCCATGCACCAACTGGAGCTTCGACTTTACAGCTTGCTGCTGATGGTGATGATCCTGGAGCTCTAAATCCCCTGCTTTGCCTGCCAGTAGTAGCCTGCTGCGGTTGGATTCTGCGTCGAAGCTCGCATGAACGCTGTAAACCACGTAGAAAATCACCACCACTATCGACCAGAGCCCAAACCTCCTGTAAGACTGCCAGTCCACCGAGCCAAGCAAGAACACGTTGAGGAAGATGGAGACGGCGGCTAACCACGGCATGAGCGGAGCACCCCAGTCAGCCGGCTTGTGAGCTTGCGGGACTTTCCACCAAAAGATCATAGTGAGAAGCACGCACAAGACGCCGAAGAAGACGAGCCCCCACCAGAGGTCGTTGCGGTTCAAGTTCCAAAAGGTGACGAAGCCGATGGCGGAGCCGGAGAAGAGGGCGAGGAAGACGAGCGTCGGCCAGGGGCTGGAGATCTTCCTCACGACGTGCCTCCGGAAGATGAGAGCGTTGGCGACCATGTAGAAGACGAAGAGCGTCCCGATAGAAATCATGTTGAGTAGGATCTCTAGATCGGTGAACAGAGATATCGCAGAAGTTACAACGCCTGGACATCGAAACAAAAGTATTAAATTCGCAAGCCTGGAGAACTATAAAGAAAGACGCGTAGTGCTCACCTAAGAAAACTGTCGCATTGATTGGAGTCCCTGTAGAAGGATTTACCTTCGCAAACCAGTAAGGGATAACGTTGGACCTTCCTATCACGCACAAGTATCGCGCCTGTCCAAGCATAGCAACAAGCAGGGACGTAAAAATCCCCAAGCTTGCACCAACCGAGACTATCTTCGCAGCCCAATCCCAGCCAACTTTCCTGAAAGCCATCGGATAGGAGGCATCCGCGTCAATCTGTGAATCACCACAAGAGGATACAATATCAGAACACACCCAAAACCATATAGAAAAGCTTACCATATCGTAAGGGACGAGCATACTCATGGAGGCAGCCATGAGGCAGTATAAGACTGAAACGATAGCGACCGAGCCGGAGACACCAATTGGTATGTTCTTCTTCACAGGCTCTTCAACCTCTTCCGCCAAAGTTGAAACTGCGTCGTAGCCGATATAACTGAAGTAAACAATCGCGGCACCATTTAGCACTCCCCTGACTCCGTAAGGGAAGAATCCACCTTCGCTGCTCGGGTGTCCGGGTGTTGTGAAGTTCTTCACGTCTCCCTTGACAAATCCGGCCACAATGATGAACAATATGAACAAAACATGGGCTACTGTCATCACCATGTTAAAAATGGAGCTGTCTTTGGTGCTGCAGAACAAAGGATATAAAAACATTATAGTCAAATCTTCCCGGATACAAAAACAAGCACAAGCAAGCTCAAGAAAGTCGCGCGACTGCTCGCATTCCAAAGCCTCGCATAACAAAATAAAGACGAAGTTCGCAACAATTTCCAGCCAAAACAATTGACCACGAAACCATTTCGAGGATCAAGACTGGTGACCCTATCCACTTGAGAGCGACGATAAATTCATGGGACTCTGTGCAGTAGCAACCAAAAACACTAAAGACACCACACAGGCCAGCGGTTTTAATCGATCGGATCCGGCACACGCATCGAATTCTCTCGAGATAAGAACGACCATAAACTTTGGGGGGCCTGTAGAAACTAAGAACCAGGAGCAATCATCGAGGCATCAATAAACAGAAACTATGCAAAAGGATCCCACCAGGGAAAAAGAAACTCCAAAAAAAAATGAACACCAAAAGCAGCAAACCAGGCAAGAGAAGAATTTTGATGGATTTCTCATACCTGTAGCACAAGAATATTGTGATTATGATGAGCAGAGCCACGGCCGGGAAATCCAGCATGTTGTATTTGGAATGGATTGCTGTCACCTCAATTCTCCAAGCGGCCACTCCAAAGATGGCTGAAAAGTACGCAGTGAAGCTCCTGGCCACGGCAGCGTTGGACAAAACGTACTCCATGAGGAGGTTGGCACCAGTGAAAAACGCAGCGAATTCCCCTAAGAAAATCGAAGAAAAAAAATCCAACCTCAGCTCGAAACAAAGAAAAGAAACAAAGGCCACAATTCAATCCACAAACCATCGAAGATCACAAGGAAAAGAATTCCAAAATCAGCTCGAGCAAGAACGAAACAAAGACCATCGACAATCCCTTTCTCCTTTGAGCAAGAAACAAAACAAAGAAAGTAAACAAAGATCACAATTCAATCCCTGGCTCAAAAGGATCACTCACAACTTAACCATCAAAAACCACAAGAAAAAATCAGCAGCTCGAGCAGAACACAAGGAAAAGAAGCAGAGTTCCAATTCAATCCACACTCCCTGGCTCAAAGGATCACTCACAACACAACTTGGAGCAACGCAAGCACACAAAAAGAAAGCAAAACAAGAAAAAATAAAGGAAAGGAGAGGAGTTCTTGGAGTTCTTACCAAATGTGATGCGCAAGTAGCTAAACGCGCCTCCAGCGACGGGCATTTCCACCGCGAATTCGGTGTAGCAGAAGGCCGAGAGGAGCGCCGAGATGCCAGCCACAATGTATGCCAGCACTATCGATGGGCCGGCGAAGCTCTTGGCGGCGGTGCCGGTCGTGACGAAGATCCCCGCCCCCAGCATCCCTCCCATTCCCATCGCGATTAGATCATACCACTTGAGCTTGCGCCGCATTTCGGCGCCGGATCGCGATCGCACCTCGTTCATCTCCTCGCTCGGCGTCCACGACGCGGCCATTCGCTGCTTGAGCCGCGAATGCGTCTTGGAGATCGCGGAGAGATAGGCCGTGACGCTGGCGAAGGAGGAGGAGGGATCCTCCATGTCGACGCATCGATTCATCCAATCCAGAAAGGAAGAGAATTTGGGAAAATTTCCTAGTATCGCTCCAAGAACAAGGACTAACTAGCTAGGTTGGCTTTTATAAAGGAGGTTCCACAAAAGGAATTTGCTCCAACGGTGGAGATGCGCAAACCGAGACTACCCCATGACGTGGACGGCTGCGATTTGGGGGATCGTAGTAAAAGGGTCAAAACCAAAACGGACGGAGACAATCAATCCTGGCCGTCCACGTGAAATTTGGCGCAGATAAACTAAACCTTTACCGCCCTTCACGCGTGAGGGGCGCTAGTACGGACGTTTATCTGGAAACGTACTCCGGTTGGTTGACCTTTCCCCTTTACCTGTGATGGTGGCCTGCCGGCCGCCTTCCCGTGCCAGTATTTACTCTCAGCACGCTATGGCCGCCAAACGATCCATCTCCCGGCACGGTTAAAACACGAAGTAACCTGGCCACGGGGCTCGAGGTCTTTCACTTTTCACCTCATCCGTCCGGTAAATTCTCCAGTGCCAGGCCGCCAGCCGCCGTAACAGCGACGCGTGGTAACTAATCTCCCGCCAAAGTAAAGGGCTTACTAAATTTCGAGGGAATATTAGGGTTACGTGGCGCCGTGGTTATTGATTGTATGGAATATTAAGTGTAACTTTCGAAAGGAGCCACTCCCATTCATGCATTGTCCTTGTATCATAGAGATTCAATGAAAACACCACGGCTATAGCTTGGAAGTACGCTTTCATCTTGCCCTAATATACGTGCGAGGAGGACGACTCAGGAAAGCAACCTTTCACGCAGCGCTAAATCTTTCCAATAAACTATACACACCAAAGATCAAGCAAACACAAAGGTGGCGATGATCTTGTGACAAAATCTCCAAATCTGTCTTGAAATCTTCATAGTTTTCTCTTTTCTCTTTGGTCCTGTCATGCCAAATGTAATTTTTAGCGCTTTCCGTTGCACGGCGGACGCAAGCAATCGTGATCCAGTCAACTTGGCCCGGCTTTGTTGTGAGAACATTAAACTTTAAAAGTCCCCACGGGTGAGATTTGGATCAGTTGGATCATTTCAAACTTGCTTGTTGCTGGTTGGTTGGCGCGCGAGCCAAAAGTTCGATTCGATGGTGCTTCCGTGCTTCATCGCCTCTGAGTCTTGTTTACATACAAGTGTTCCACCCAGCCACGCAAAATCCTGGGATTGATTAACGTAATCCCAAATGCCACCTTCTCCTATAGATGAAGATTCTCCATGATTAAGTAAGATTAGTCAAGAACACTGTAAGATCCTGCAATTCTTCGTATCTGTGAAAAAGATTGAAAAAACAAGCCATGCATTTTGCATTTGGGAAGCCCTTGAAACATCAAACTCAAAGATTGGAATGCTTGGAAGTGTGAAAGTCCAGCACACATAAAATGCAGATTCCATACTTGTTCACGCTTGGAGCATTCATAATGTTTTTCTAAACACCACTTGTGCTGGGTTGATGATTTTTTGACTACATGTTGTTGGGGTCTTGCCAACCAGAGGCACGAAACCATTTACATATTGATGCAATGCAAACTCACTCGCTCACTCTTGGGTCCCTCTACTCATGAAACCATTTAGATATTGATGCAATGCAAACTCACTTGCTCACACTCTTGGGTCCTTTTAGTTTTTTTGGTGAACGTTTGCAATCCACGACAAGAACCGTTTTGCAATGAAGATTTGGTTGAGATCAGTCACTGCTTAATCTGCCTTTGATTACTCTAATAAACTAGGTGGCAGAATTTCAATAGGCAATTTACAAAATGTAGTCTCGGATCTGCTGCGTCAACTTTTCCATGCACACAGATCCGCTGTCCGAATTTTTTTTTTCATAAGGGGGCAAAGTTGACGTGTGTCTGACAAATTGCGCATCACTAGAAAAGTCACCTGTTCCTGCATTCATCTAAACAAATCGCTGCTGCACATTGACATTTTGGGAAAGCGGGGAGGCGTTTCTGATTCTCTCTTCTTTCACAAAAATAAAAACGATAAAACAACCATGGGGGAAGTTGAACTCGGACACAAAACAGACAGCGGTGGTGATGGGTTGCGCTTGTTCCAATTATTTAAAAGAACAGCAGATTTCTTTCATGGTGGCCAACATTTACAAATGAGAGACAAAGACGCCAACTTTCAACAAAGGAAATACGACTTCATAATCTCCTTTCCATTTTAAAAACCCGAGAAGAAAGATTTTATAGAGAAAGTTTTTGGCAACATGTAAGTTATGAGGAGCAGAACAAAGCAGCCAGGCAGGCCATGCCTCCTCGCAAGGAGTCGTAATCCAAAACACGTCCAAGCAGCAGTATAGCAGCAGCAAACACACCTCCCATTCTTTTCGCGACGAGATTTTTATAGACGCCCTGCAACAATCGCCAGGATTTTAAAGGCTGCCATGGATCGATCGATCGAGATCAGCGAGTAAAGTATACCGCCAGTGGATCATCCAATCGCGAAAGCCGCGTACACAGCTTCCCTCAAACAAGAGTAGTTTTTGCTTGTGTCCAGCTTGCCTTCGTTTTGCTTTCGTTTTCAAGCAGAGACACGCATGGCCCATCCCCGTGATCCTAGTTAAGAGAGAGGGAAAAACAATCAAGGATTTTGGCAATGGCACTTTGAAATGAAAGAAAAAAGTCGAACCTTTGTTTCTTCTTGCTGCTCGTGGTCCATCACCCACTCTTTACAGCAGCTTCTTATCATTTTCTCGCCAAACGCCGTTCCTTTAGGTAGCTTTCTCCTTTCTCTGCTTCCTTTCTTTTTCATTGAGCTCCCGGACCACTCCTCCCTGGCCAGGAAAATTGCAAATTTTGGTGGAACTTTCGGGAGCTCGAAGAATCATACCTGATCTCTGGAGGAACGGTGTTGAATCCTGGTCACATATAGTCGGTGCAAAGGCAGAGAAAGGAACTCGCTACTTAGCATTCAAGCAAGTTGTGCGTGACTGCTCTCTCGTAGAGATGGGACCAGCATTATATGGTCCCGTCGTGGGGAGTTTCTAGCCAAAAGCCACGAGTCAACTGTATATGCAGCGTAGGACCAAAACTCGCGGTAATGGAAATCTGAATAATTCACCTCAGTTATTTCGTTTTCGAAAATTTGGAAAAGACCTTACCTCATAGTGGATGAGGTCAGTTTTCTCTCTTTTCTTCCCTTTGACAATTTGAGACGTGATGTCACTTGAACTTATGTGAGCCTGAGAAGAATAAAAGAAAGTACTTATGTTTCCTCGAGGCCTCAAGGACTCACTTCTGCAACATCGGCCAAAAAGAATTGAGTTAGAATGCATGGAAAAGAAAGTACTGAGATCTTTAGTCTAACTTACATCACTTCGATGAACTTGCGAAAATCTTGATAGCGACAATCTGTAAGTTCGCATCGTGTCATGTTTAGCACAAGGAATATGAGAAAGAAAGAAAAAATCGTGTCTTTGACTTAAACCAGCAGTAAAACCTATGCAAGTTCCAGTTAGTTTCTCCCAGGATTGTCAAGAAAAGCGAAAAACAATTACATTCATTAGTGAACTCGATCGCTGCTCCTTTGAGAAGGCTCCTTGATCTTCTCTCTCTGATGAAGAAGAAACGAGAAAAAGAAAAACGAGAGAATGCACGATTTCGTGGATGTGAGCTAGCAAATCCACTTCTCACCCCTGACTTGTTTCAGTGCCGCCACCCTCGAGTTCTCTCTAGCGATGGCTTCTTCCTTTCTAGAAATTCTATCCTTCCATGCCGCCAGAGCCTTCTCTCTCGCCTTCTCAGCCTCTACTCTCACACTCTCACCATCGATCACTACATTCTCTAACGAGTTCTTGCCACTAGAAAAGCACCCCCTTGTACTGTGAATGTAGCGTTTGCCACTAGCCCTGTGCTCTAGAGATCCATCCCTGACTCTCTCTATCATCGTTATCCCAGCCGGAGCTTTCCCAAAGAGATGGAATCCATCGTCTTCTTCCTGGGATGGAGCAGCCACTGGACGATCTGGCTCCTCCTCCGCGCGGATAATCTCCACTGTCTTGTCCAGGAATTCGTGGAGCTGATCTTGGAGCCGAACCTGGTAGAACTTGAGGTGATGATCGTCGGCGGCGCCTTCTTCTACCTGGTGATCGATTGGCCTAGCAGCGGATGGAGTGAGAGAGCTATAATCCACGACGCAGCTGCGCAGCCGCTTCTCTTCCTCCTCCCCTTCGCTCGATTCTTGCATCGATCGCTTTCTCATCTCCAAAACCCTAGGAAGAATGCGCTCACCTCTCTGGATCCAGCAATGCGCGGCCGATCTACACGAGCTAGCTCCGCTCCTCCAGCGCTCCAAGATCGCATCGAGATCACCCTTTCTCGCTAGGGTAAACCATGGAGGATGGAAATATTTCGAGGGCTTTTGGTGTTTGAAAGAGTCAAGATATTGTCGATCCTTCCTGCTGGAGGAGTGCGCGGCTTCTTCTGCCAGGGCAGGCACTGGATTCGCGACCGTGGCAGCGTCATGGCGCCGGCGACGAGACAATCCCAGGTTTTCTAGCTTCTCGAGTTCCAGGGGAAGATCTGGAAGACGTTACATTCTCTAGCAATTCGGAGCCGCAAGGAACGAATGATAGCCTCCAGCTCTATGGACAGATCGAGAAGTATGCTGGTGAAAGAATTTCGTCGTTTTCATGCTTGTTCTTCTTTCTTTCCAGGGTTTTTGTGGACTCTGCGATGTAAGCACAAGGAACTCTTGGACGCTGGCAAGAAATCCAAGTAAGCTCTATCTGTGTTTTTGTCTTTCACAGAGAGAGCACTGGTGATTTTGTTTTCCTTCTCCAGGGAGACCGAGCAAAGGAGATCAGTTGTCCATTTTGGAGCTGCTCCACAGATCACGTATCGCTTGTTTCTGGAACGCCTTGTAGAGCCCTTAAGGACTAGCAAAAGTCTAGCAGTTTCGGTGGGCAGAGAGGTGAGAGTTTCATATTGTATAGAATGATTTAACTCTGTCTTTCCATGCATGATCATAACAATGCTATAATGAAAGTTGTTTGTTATGATAGCACGTCAAAGGACTGACCATTTCACTTTTAAGCCCACTTTAACCAAGACACATCATATCATTTGTTTAAATCATTATTTTGAATTAAGAATGTTGTTTTTCAATGTAGCAAAGAGTTTATCCTTAGCTAGCTAGAGGATCACTTTGGGATCTTATATAAATACTTTAACATAGTCAAAAATAAATATTATATTTACTTGACCCTTGGAGTTATTGATTATGACCCAAGGGTATTCCCACACTTTAGAAGTTAGCCTTTTCAGCCAAGGGTTTATAACAATTAAAATTAAGTGTCCCCATTCTATTTATTATGTCTTTAGTTTATACCAAAGTATTCAAGTTAAATGTGCTAAACTTTTATATCCAACACACTTTTGAATTATAACTTTGAGGCATCCTCCACTTGATGGTATGTACAATGAATGTTTTCATATTCTAAACTATCACTATGCCTTAATGCCCTTCAAACACTAGATATGTATTTACAGGTGGTATCATATAAAATACCAATTTTATACCCATGTCAATTAATTTCTCTTTCATATATGTCTTATGGATTATGATTTAGAAATTTTGTTCCTCCTAGCTTTCAAGTTATTTCATTGGACAAATTAAGTGATCAACCTATGATCATGCATGAACACCTTTATATTTAGCATCACAAGCTTTCCCTTCTGAAGTCAACTCTTCAATTACAACCTCATTCTTTTGACTTGTCAATCCCACTTAATAAGTCATCCAGCCAGTATAATATAATTACTCATAAGTATATACATCCTCAAATCCCAACTTTTATTCAAAACCATTTATTTAAACATGTAATAACTACTTCCCCTACTTTGATAGCTTCACCTCATAACAAATTTTAAAACCACATTTCTATTATGCTACTTTAATTTGGCATATGCTTATAAACCATTTGTACTTAATTTTAAGCTTACCCAAAATTGTCTTTGGAATATTAAAAGGATTCCACCTTTTAGCTTGTTAAAGCTTCTCCTTTCACAAGCTTATCTAATTTAATATAAACATTTTTATATTTTAGACTTTCATAATACCATATCTACAAATAGTAAAACCCTCAAGTATACATTTGATTCCCCACTCTCAACTTATATAACCACCTTAGGTTATATCCCTTAATTTCTATAGTTCAATTCTATCTTTCTATTACTTGCTCTTAGCTCTATATGTTCCTTTTATTTATTCTCCTCCATGTTAGGAGAGTAATTTTGCACTTTCTACTCATGCTTTAGCAAATATTTTTAAGGATAAATTTACTCAATAATTTAGAAAATGGTTCTCTTAATTAAGATAGACTCAATTTGTAATCCTATACACCAAGATTAATGTTCTTTATATGCCTATTGTTAACTATGCCAAAATCTTTTTTGGCCTTATCCACCTTGGATAGGTAAATTCCCTCATCTTTAATTTTTCCAACCTTGAACTTTAGATAACACCTCTTATTCATTATTTTTTAAGGACTTAATCCTTTGGACATTATCTAATGCCTTCATAATATATTATTTTGATGTTTTATGTGTTTATATGGTTTAATAGTAGACTTCTCAAGCAATGAGAGTTTTCTTTTATAACAATGATTTACTATATTGTAATGCAAGTAACTTACCCTTCAAGAGATATATCAAACTTCATTCTTAACTCAATAAAAAGTCTTAGGAAGTTATTTTCCACTATCCTAATTAATTGTATCAAACTTGTGCTATAACATATTGCCAATGCTTCCACACTTTCATTCATATTTAATTAAAAACATTTTAGTTCCATGCCTTCCAGCTTAGCCAAACTTATTTCTTTTGGAATTCCCTTGGCAAGGATCTTCTAAACTAACCACCTTGGCATACTTAATGAACCCTCCAATGAGAAACTTGGTATCTTTGTACCATCAGCTTTATGCGTCTGTACTATATATTCCACTTGTATTTATATCTTTCACCAAAATCATCCTTTGCCATTTCTTATATTAAAATAACTAATATTAAATTCAAGCTTAAACACAATTCTTCTCAAAAGTTATTTCTATGTGAATATATTTTAACTTCAATATGGCATTATCAGCCACTAATGAGATACTCACTATTTTTAGTGAGTATTTTTAAATTTCATAGCCACTCTAGTTTTTAATTGGGCACAACTCATTTTTTTCTAAAATCTATTTTATTTATATCCTTAGAACCATCTCTTAACTCCACTAAGTCACATATCTTTTGGACTTGTTAGTCTTGCTACTTATAAGCTCGTAGTGTCATGGCTCTTGAATATAACTTATGTCCTAACCATTCCATTAGTGTTACTCAAGTAGAATCTACTAGAATATTTAAGTATATTTTAAGTATATTCACTATAGATTTGCTTAAGCAATACATATAAACCATAACCAATAAATTTAAAATTAACAAATATATATTGATATAAATTATTTATATCTTTTTATTTGTGATTATATAAATTACATTCCTTCTGTATGTGGCTTGGTTTTTCTTTCTGAGTAAACCCTTGGTTTTTACATTCTTAAACACAATTACTACTTGTTGTTTTGATAGAATTTAGCTATATCCAAGTTGTTTAAAGTTTGACTTTGTAATTTACATATTGTAATTGAAAATGTAAGTCTTATAGGGACTTACTTTTTCTTCAATACCTAATACTTTGCTTCTAATACATTTTGCAATGTTGAGGTAATAATTAACTATGTGAACACATCAAGATTGCAAAATAACATTATAATATCATTATATTTAGATTGCAGAGGCATTCTAAAGAAGTCTCATATTTCTTCTAGGGAATGATTCTAAATTGTATTTAGACTTTTGTAAGAAATTAATCTTTTTGGTAACATTGTCAAAACTTGTTCAATTATATCCATAAATGGTTTGTTAAATTGCCTTGTACTTATAGACATATCAAGTTATTTTTGTGTCCCAAAACGTATTCTGGCTACTATAGATAGCTGTGATAAAACCTCAAAGACAACTACACTTTTAAGGATAGAAGCACATAAACCACAGACCATAGAATATTCTTAAAATATTCTTATGGTTCGTGTCAAGTTTTCTCATGAGGCTGTAATGCCTTAAAGGTTGGGAGGTTGGCTTAAAGTTCACTCTCTTGTTCATTTCATTCGTATCAGAGAAACATGTTCTTTTAGGGATGGCAAATGAGTAAAATGTTGATCTTGATGAGGAGTATGGCATTAGTGATATGGCCATAACAATGAGGAAGAAGCTCTTGATGATGTTGTTGTGCAGCAAGGATGTTAGATTTCTGAGGTTTAAAATGACATTAAGGAGGTTAAGGATTTCTTACTTTGCATGGACCCTCAAGAGTTGAATCAATCTTATATCTGTGATTACCATTAGCATGTCAATCATACCAAAGATTATGGTATTGTGGAATGGAAGTCATCACCAAATGTTTGTGATAGTCAAGAGGTTGATTCTTGGTTGGAATTGTGGGAAAGTTGTTGGTCTTACAATCCTTGTGAGGATAAAGTGAAAATTGATTTTTTTGTGACAAAGTTTACAAATCATGTTTCTTCATGGTGGAAGAATTACATTAAAGTTAATTAGAAGCCAGCTTCTTGGAATGATTTGACGAAATTTTTTGTGTTTCATTTGTCAAGAAGTTTGAAGAGGTTAATCTCTTGAACCAGCTGTTAAAGATTCAATAGACTTTATCTTTGGATATGTATGCTTACAAATTTTATAATCTTTGCCTTGGTCTCATAAGCACTTATAATAAGCTACTAAAGGTGCAATGTTTCTTCAAAGGTTTAAACTCAGTAGATGTATAGTAGAAGGTCAAGAAGGATTTTCCAGCAATATTGACTAATGCTATCACTAAGGCTTAAATCTTTTTCACCTAAACTGTCAGTCAACTCTGGTCAACGAGATGGTTTACAAGGTAATCAACATAATGACCAACTCACCAATGCTTCATATTCAAGGAAGAAACAACCATTATCTATCGTGGCTCAAAGAGTGGCACTGAGGCTAAGAAGCTTTGTTCAAACCAATGGGAGAAAGATAAGGCAAAGGGCAATTATTTTCATTGCCTTAGGGTTGGACATCAAGGCAAAGATTGTCTTGAAAGGGTCAATGAATTCTAAAGGTGAATGTGGTGGGATCCATTGTGGATATAGTTCAAGTATTTCTTGTGGTGGATCTTTCACATGGAGCCTCTTATGGTCAAAACAAATGCAAGTGATATTGCTATTGAAACCGTATTGCCTTAAGTTAGGCATCCTCTTGCGTACATGAGCCATAAGTTTGATGTTACACAGCATAATTAACCTATTCAAGATAAGGAATTATATGTTGTGATCACCACTGTGAAGGAATGGTGACATTATTTATATGGATCAAACTTCTATGTGGATTTAGACCATCAATCTCTCTAGTATTTTAGTCGACAAACAAATCTTCGAGTTTGCTTTGCTTGTTGGCAAAAGTTTTTATAGAAAATGTTTATTAATATCCAATACAAACATGGAGGTAACAATAAGATGGTTGATGCATTATCCAAGATGGTAAATTATATTTCATTTATAAAGCTATTCGGCAATCTTTTGGATGAGTTTAAGGAGTTTGTTGACTTTGACTCCTTTATCATTAATATTCGCATGAAGGTTTTGTTGAGGGATGCTTTTACAGATTTGAAGGGTGAAAAGTTTATGTCATTCGAGATACAAAATGGAATCTTAGTGAAGAAGGGACATGTGGTGGTTTTGTGTTGACAAATTTATCAAATAAATTTTAGTTAAATGTCATGATGTGCCAAATACTGGGCATTTAGGGGTATTAAGAACATATATGTTAGTGAAAAAGCATGTTCATCAAAAACTCACTAACCTTTATCATCCTTTATGTGTACTTGAAAATAAATGGGATAACATCACTAATTTGCCCAAGATTTTTCAAGGAATTGATGCTATTTGGGTTGTTGTGAATCGTTTAACGAAGATGGCTCACTTCTTTCTCATGAAGACGACAATAAAAACTTTTAAACTTGCTTAGTTGTTTGTAGACTAGTTTGCCCGGTGATATTGTGAGTGATCAAGATCCCAAATTCACATCCAAGTTTTGGCAAATAATCATTGAGAAGCAAGCTGAGTATAAGTAATGGTGAGCATCCACAATCAAATAGGTAAACAAAGTGCATGAATCAGCTGTTGGAAGATATATTAAAGTCTTTTGTGTGTGATTTGACTTAACAGGGAGTATGGGAGAAGTACTTGCCTTTGCTTTAATTTGCTCACAATAGTGTTTATCAATTGGCTATTGGCATATTTCTATTTATGGCGATATATGGTTATGAGCTTAGGTCTCCCATAAGTTTAGGTTTGACTTTGGTTTGGGTATCTTATGCTTGTGATTTCCTAGAGGATATGCAAGACAAGTTTGAGTTGGCAAAGTTAAACATGAGGCAAACTCAAGATTAAGACAAAAGATTAGTTGATGAGTATTATTATTATCAAAAGTACAAAGTTGGTGATAAAGTTTTCTTTAAGCTGTGAAATGCATAACAGTTTCTAAAAGGAGGTGGTAGTGCTAAGTTGTCTCCACAGTATTGTGGGCTTTGAACAAACATGTGGGAAATATTGCATACACTTTGGACTTGCCAATTAGTTCAAAAATTCATCTAATATTTCATGTGAGCATGCTTAAAGCATGTTTCCACTCTAGTGATGTCGTGGATCAATCCATCATCTATGTCTTAAAGATTGATACTGAGAAAGTTGGGCCAACCAATATTCTTGCTCAAAGATTGGTGAAAACACACTAAAAAACAATTAAAAAATTGTTAGTTCAATGGAATGATTATTCTATATATAAAGAGAGTGTTTCTAAGTTTTGGTTATGATTTAGATGACATTCTTGAGAAAGGGGAAAATTAAGTTTTATAGCCATATTGCTATATTGTTTAAGTCATTCATATTTTCCATGACTGTATTGTCATGTAAAAAAGCCATATTACTTTTTTTATTTTATGGTTATTTGTCGCAATGTTAGTGTTCCTGTTTGCACTTTTTCTCCATGGGTATATTACCTTGGACTCCCTTCATATAAGGCTTGCTTAACTTCTCAATGCTACTATACATGGGTGAGTCACGAGAGAGGGGAGAATGACACAAACTACAGGAACATTCCAAGAATATTCTATGGTCTGTGGGTTCACTCTCTTGTTCGTTTCAAAACTTATCAGCATCTATGAGATGCCTTTTTTTGTCTGCACAATTTTCACAACCATTCAAAATCTAAAGATTAGTATATTTCCTATAGTTGTTTTGTCAACCATGCAGGGTCACACTTACATACAGATATTCGTTACTCAGCACGGCTTTGTATCGACAATAGCATCCATGCTGCGATTTCCTCCACCAAGTTTTCGATATCTTCCAGAAGCTGCTGGCGAAGCCGCTGAGACGCTGGATCAGATCCAAAAGTCTGCCCAACCTCTTTGGCCACCCCTTCGAAAAGAGTGCCCACTGCTAGCGATGCTAGCAAATCGCTCCCTCGCGTCACAGCGTCAGCCATCACGCCAGGAACCTCGGGGAATACCTGTTAAACTATCAGAAACTTTGCAAGAACTGGAGTGTTTTCTTAGAGAGAAGTATCACCTGCTGGAGAGGCCTGGCGTGATCTCCAGATAACGTCCTCACTGACAAGTCGAGGTTCATGCTCACAGCAGAGCTCGAGCTCAAGATCTTGGCCAGCTCTGGAGTTTCGTCGATCACATCGTCCTTGAAACGCACCAGTAGATTACGTCTGATGCCATAGTAGGATCTTATCTGGACAATTGACACAAACATTAGCTCAAGCGTTTCAGCAAAAGCACGAGAAACACACACACACACACACACACACAAAATAAAAAAAGAGTTTTGTACCAATCTAGTTGCATCTTCTACGGTTGGAGTGAAGTCTTCTTTACCGTTTGCCAGCTCCATGTACAAGGAGGGAAGCTGCTCGACAAGAGGAAGGATCTGCTTCACGAGTGGCGGACTGAGAGTTTCGAGTTGCCTCTTTGCCATTTCTGCCTATGAGAAGCAAATGCTTAAAAACACAGCGATTGCATGAAATGTAGAACGGTTACCCCGAAGCGAACAGTGGGAGAGTTGCTGATTTGTGTGAGGAGGGGCCCGAGGTTTTGAGCCATTGGAACTGCAACCGGTGAGAACAAAGGAATTGCTTGCTTGGCCCCCTGAACAGTGCTGGGATGTTAATTATGCTTTTGAAACGAGAAGAATACACACCTTGTTGTTGAAAGACATCAGAACGTTGCCTGCCCGTTCCACTGCATAACGGGCTCCTGTGACATAGACCAGAGTGAACACAGAACCTTCAAGAGGGTCGGGTCGATGGAATACAACCAATAAGAAGATGTACCAGTGCTCCTAGAGAATGCCCGACACCAAAGCTAGGCAGTGATTCCAACTGATAACACAAACAAGCAGCTTGTAAGATGCGTTACACTAAAAAGAACCAAACTTACAGATTGCTCTTTCAAGGCTCTTATGCAGCGATCAAACTTAAACTGCGTCTCGTCAGCGATCTTCAAGTGGTCGAAGCCACTCGCGAATGGCGTTGCTATGATCAAGAATCCTCTGCATGGAAAAGAAAAATGTGGAGAGTTAAATCAATACGAAAATCTCACCTCTCTGCAAGGCGTTCCAGAAACAAGCGATACGTGATCTGTGGAGCAGCTCCAACGAAAACACCACCCACAAAATGGACAACTCCAACAGGATCTCCTTTGCTCGGTCTTAGAATCCATGCTCCCTGGAGAAGGAAAACAAAATCACCAGTGCTCTCTCCGCGAAAGAAAAAAACACAGATAGAGCTTACTTGGATTTCTTGCCAGCGTCCAAGAGTTCCTTGTGCTTTCATCGCAGAGTCCACAAAAACCCTGGAAAGAAAGAAGAACAAGCATGAAAACGAGGCAATTCATCGAAATTCTTTCACCAGCATACTTCTCGATCTGTCCATAGAGCTGGAGGCTATCATTCTTTCCTTGCGGCTCCGAATTGCTAGAGAATGTAACCACGAGACGTCTTCCAGATCTTCCCCTGGAACTCGAGAAGCTAGAAAACCTGGGATTGTCTCGTCGCCGGCGCCATGACGCTGCCACGGTCGCGAATCCAGTGCCCGCCCTGGCAGAAGAAGCCGCACAGTGATCTCCTCCAGCGGGAAGGGTCGACAGTAGCGCCTCGCCCATCCTGACTCTTTCAAACACCAACAACCCTCGAAATATTTCCATCCACCATTCTTTACCCTAGCGAGACGATCGATCGATCGATGCGATCTTGGAGCGCTGGAGGAGCGGAGCTAGCTCGTCTAGATCGGCCGCGCATTGCTGGATCCAGAGAGGTGAACGCATTCTTCCTAGGGTTTTGGAGATGAGAAAGCGATCGATGCAACAATCGAACGAAGTGGAGGAGGAAGAGAAGTGGCGTCGTGGACTATAGCTCGCTCACTCCATCCGCTGCTAGGCCTAGAATCTAGCGCCAGGTAGAAGAAGCCGCCGCCGACGATCACACCCAGGCTCTACCAGGTTCGCCTCCAAGATCAGCTCCACGAATTCCTGGACGAGATTATCCGCGCGGAGGAGGAGCCAGATCGTCCAGTGGCTGCTCCATCCCAGGAAGAAGACGATGGATTCCATGATGGTAGAGAGAGTCCGGGATGGATCTCTAGAGCACAGGGGTAGCAGAGCTGTCATCTCTTTGGGAAAGATAACGATGATAGAGAGAGTCAGGGATGGATCTCTAGAGCACAGGGCTAGCAGCAAGCGCTACATTCACAGTACAAGGGGGTGGTTTTCTAGTGGCAAGAACTCGTTAGAGAATATAGTGATCGTTGCTGAGAATGTGAGAGTAGAGGCTAAGAAGAAGGCTCTGGCGACATGGAAGGATAGAATTTCTAGAAAGGAATCGCTAGAGAGAACTCGAGGGTGGCGGCACTGAAACAAGTCAGGGGTGAGAAGTGGATTTGCTAGCTCAATTCCACGAAATCGTGCGTTCTCTCTCCTTTTTTTTTCGTTTCTTCTTCATCAGAACGGAAGATCAAGGGGCCTTCTCAAAGGAGCAGCGATAATGTCAGCTATTGTTTTTCGCTTTTCTTGAAAACGCTGGGAGAAACTAAGCGTTGCTAGTTTAATTCTTTCGTATTCCTTGTGCTAAACAGGTTCACAATGCAAACTTACAGGTTCTCGATACGAACTTTCAGATTTTTTATACATTAGCTTTGAGAACCCAGACCGAATCAGTCAACCACTCTTTTAGATACAAAGACACGTTATTGCCACCAATCACTCCACATAATGGCTGTATGGTCCCCTCAACTTTTTGCTGTTTCTGTGGCGCACCACTAGGGCGTTGACTGGTAAAATAGTTGAAACCAAACTGTTCTAGATCCTGCTCCGTATGAGGCAAAACTGCCAGTCGCAGCAGTCCATTCTCTGAAGCAAGATTTATAAGCCTGTTTAAACCTTCATCTTCTTTTGTCCTACAATTCATCAAATCGAGAGCACTTGAAATTTCACCTTGAGGAGTTGTATCAGTCCTGGATTTCATCTGTAACAAGCAAGGCATGAGCTGCCGCTTCGACTCATAATCATTGGTGAGAAAAAATAATGCGTCGGGACGAAAGCCATCCCAGCCACCATCACCAGTCCAGAGAACCGTTGGAAATGAGTCAGCCTGCCCTTCAACGTCGTTGAGATACTTCTCAAGTGTATAGCAGTCGGCACCATGGGTGTGACTTTTACCGCACATCTTTGTCACAACTTCTGTTTCAACGCGTGCTTTCACCACCTTTGCCTTCTCAAAATATATTGCGGGAACTTGAAAAGTGCTGTTCTGCAGTTCCACACTGCGATTCCGAAGAAAGCAAGAAACAAAGTCTACAGGAGCCTTTCCGTCCAATGCGTCAGCCACCATAATCCCCGCCAGCCTATCAAACTCAAGACCCACTGTCACAAGCTGCTGCTGACAAAACTCATCAAAGCCTGTTGGCTGCCGATTACGAAAGTAATGGAAAAGAGCTCGGAAGACAGCAGGTTCCTGAAGTTTGATCCAACTGTCTTTATCCTGCTTTGCAAAGAACTTATCCAAGTCCTCCAACGCAACACTGTTTCCATTGCTTAGCCAGGCTAACCCAAACTCCACAAGGCTCAGAGATGGATTGTTGATGTTGAGTATAGTGGATATGGACCCAAACATCTGGTGATACACTATCACCTCTAGCTCCTTGAGCGCTGCAGCATTCCGAGTCCTTTCAAAAAACAGCTCCACATCCCTCAGAACCGTCTCATCCATGTAGACTTCCAATCCTGATGTGTTTGGTACACCTCCCAGAGAACGACTGATTGTACTTGAGGTGCATATCTTCTCAAAAAAGGCAATCAGAAATTCTGTTGCCTGCTCCAAGGGACGCTTACTCCCAATGAAATACTCAAGAGCTGTGACAAAGAACCTGTACCTCCCTTTGTACAAATCACAGACCCTCTGCATATCAATACCATCCACACTTTGGAGCAGTTTGCCAGCATAGAGCTTGAAGTCCTCAACAGTGATGAATCCACCAAATCCATGAAAGACAACAACAGAAGCTTTCCCCTTCAGAGTGGCAGAGATATCCCGTGCCACGGTAAGCATACTAGACCCGCTGCCTGCATAGTAGAATTGTCGAAATCCACTATTTATCAGCGCAGGCACGAGAATATCTAGGAACGATCTCATACCACTTCCAAGAGTTACCGAAGAAAATCGCTTTTCCAACCAGCGGTTTATCATCTTGCACTCGTCAAATATGATTGGACTATTCCACTTCCCTATTAAACGATCCCTCCCTATTAAACGATCGAGTACCTCCTGGAACTGACCTTCAATGGGTTTCAAATCGTCTTTAGTCCGTATAAGGTCTAAAAGTCTACCAGTGAGCGCCTTGAACGGATCTTTGAAGTTGTACAAGTACTCGAGCGAAGGCAATGCAACCTGCTTGAAGAGCCATGCTTGACCTGTCAAATAGCCCGTTTTCTCCACCTGCCCCAGCAAATAAAACCTGCTAATCAGCAAAGCTTTGAGACAGATTGTAGCACTAACTTCTGGAATGTCTCCAGTTGGATACAGCTCCAGCAACTTTAATGCCACTAACTTGAGATCTCCTGAACCTTCAGCTCCAATACCAGTGTCAGAGACCCCCACAAAGAAGAGCCCACGCTGCGCTACAGCGATCTCATACAATGTCCTGGTCTTCCCTGATCCCGACACGTTGAAGAGAACGGTAAGGGTCGGCAGCGCTTTGGAAGTTCCCTCTATGATACGCTTGGATGCTTCGAAAGGCTGGTCTAGTGCATGCCACAAGAGGCGGGGGCATTCATCTGTAGGATCTTTTGGCAGTGGGACTTTACACGTTGGGAAATTCGCCAGAAACGCATCCGCCTTGGGATATTCAAGATTTGGCTTGCGCAACTCATGCCAAAACCTATCCAAGAGACTTTCTATATGTGCCACAGTCCCAACTGCTTTGACTGATTCTGCAAGAAAAAACAACGCAAGTCAAAATTTGCAAGAGACACCCAAAAACGGACCAAGAGATCTAAAAAGGAAAGACAAAACAATGAAAGCCTACATCCACAAAGGCTTACTCTTGGACTTCAGTAAGAGATCGCACAGCTGCTGCTCCTTCTTGCGCAGCTGCGCCTTGTCGTGGACCAGCTGCTCCTCCTCCTCGGGATCACTTGGTTGCTTGAGTTTCCCCTCAATAATTTGGCCCTCAACCACAGCAATTTGCTGTTGAACTTCCTGAAATTCCCTTGACAAGCCATAAACCGGATCATCCATCAGCTGCCTGGAAACAACAAATGAAAAACCTTAATACCTTTTATCTTATCCTTTTAAAAAAGTTTATCTTTTATGTTTTATAAAAAAATACATTTAAGTGTTCAGGATATAAGAATAGATATATTAATTGGGGTTTAGACCCCTGCTTATTGGATGAATTAAATTCAATCCCAAATAAATTTTATATATATATATATAAAAAAAAAATTAGTGTATGTGATTAATGTATTTACATGTTGTGTAAGAGCTTAAAATACATTTAAAAAAACCTAGTTTATATATAAAAGTGAGTGATTCATATTGAATCCAATCTGATAACTATCAAAATATTACATTGTAACTAATGATTTGGACCTTAGATCATTCTAAATGATGGAAGGCATTTAAGGTTTATTAATCAATAGGCTAATATATGAAGGAACATTAAGTGGAACTGCCATTGAATCTGCAAGTAGTGTAATTTGTTCTTGATCCTTTGTATGAAACACAATTGCTGTATATTAAACTAAATGTTATAATAATTTACTGTAATGTTTAATACAATTCCTTTTACTGAGCACAAAGCCCAACGAACCCTTTAGGGAAACTCTGCTTAAAATTATAGAAGAATATTTATCAAATACTTATCCCATGACCTAGTATCAATAGCTTAAAGTTATACTCAACTCCACTATATATGAGTTTATAGAGTTTATATAGTGTACCAATGGGATGCTATGACATATGTATTGGAGGTTTAAATGCTCCATAATTTGCCACATAATACACATTTAGAAGAGTACCTCAATGACATGAATACAACATTTCCTCATAGTTTATTGTGGTTTACATTTTGGATCACACTATTATTTTGAGTAAGAACCAGTTAACAATCCAATTAATTTTCAATTTAAACCAACTTGTAAACCTATTCTTAATAATTAATATACTAAACCTATAAATATATTTTTCTTATTAATCCAATTGAACAAATAAAGTTTATAATTATAAGCATGTTTGTAATTTGTAAATACAAGATTAATCTTATTTCATATCAACCACTAGATGATAGAATAAAAAATAATATACTAAAAAGGGTTTAAGAAAGTTTATAAATTATAAATTTAAGATTAATTTAAATGAATAATAACCGTTAGATGGTAGAATATCCTAGAATATTCAAGAATATTTTAGGTATATTCACTACCATCCTAGTCCTCCTATAAGTTTACTTAAGCAAACAAAAATAAATAAACCATACTCTAAATATTTAAAAACCACTATCAATATGGTTTTATAAAAAGGATTAAAACACAACTAGAAACCATATATTAAATGAAATTTGAATCAAGTCAATTAACTGATTAAAAAAGTAAATATTAAACTTGAGAAAAAACTATTTTGAGAAATAAAGTATGTTATAAATATGTTTCATATAATTTGGTATTGAACTAATTTAATCCCAGTAAAATAATGCAAAAAATCTTTTAGTTATATTATGATTTCTTTAGAGCTTAAGGTTTTATAACCATACAAGGGAAGAATGTGGAGACTCTCACCCAGATTTTATAAAGTGTGATCTTGAACCGTAATTAAAATCTATTTATGCTTCAATAAATGGCATATTTAATGAATTTAAAACATTTAAAACTTCTTTTGAAACTATAGTGCATGTGATGAATTACCACAAGTTAACTATGGAGCATCCTTGTGCTAAAAGTAATGAAGTGGGATTTGAGTTTCAGGGTTTTAAACCATTGAAAAAATGTTGTAAATATGATTGTAGGTATCAAAAATTATCTATTGGTGAGTCTTTTCAAATATTCTTCTTTTACTACTATAATGGTAGAAAATCAATATTGTTGCACCTTTTATCAATTTCCACCTAAGTTAATTAAGAAATTGATCATCACATATGCACTTAGACAAGAAAAAACTAAAGAAGGAAGTTTTAATTTGTCATTTAGTTAAGCATATTTGATATAATGATGAAAAACTTATGTTGTTGGTTTGCAATTATTAGTGTTAAAAACCCCCATGATATTGAGATAATAATTTATCGTATTCACTAAAAAACCCTTGGTATCATGCTTTATATGTGTCTTATTTCCATATGCTATTTATGATAAGTGCCTAAATCTACTCAAAAGGCATGTCTATAAAATGTAGAGAGTGTCTTGAACACTATAATGTTGTTTTTGTGTCATGATTTACAATTAACACCATTTCATATTTAGTAAATTTTCAAGTTTCTCATTCCATATTTAATAACCAATTTGCCAATTTACCTCATCCTACTTGGATTTAACTATTCACTACCAAGGGATCAGCTCGGCAGTATGAGACATTTCAGTTGCGCAGAGAACATGATGCGGATGGATTAATTAACTATCAACTAAAAATGAAATGTTACCCATCTATTTATAAATTCCTAAATTCTCTTAAGGTGTAATTGCACTCACCAAAACTTTATATTCCTAATATCCTTTGGTAAATAAGATTTGATCATAAAACCCTCTAAATCTCAAATTTTTGATGTTTTTACTTCAACATCCTAAGGGGAAACATTGTGGCCTAACAACCCAATATAAATACCCTTACTCCCTTATTTCCATCTTGAAAAAAAAGCCCAAGCCCCTAGGAAAGAGCAAGGACTAATGAATTGTATAATACTCAAGTGGGAGCACCACTCCACATGAGTCAGAAACATTATAGTTGATTTCCTTTCTGAGAGTGGAAGTTGCTTTTAAACATTTCTTTGAGGAGCCTTTTTAACACCCCTTAAGTTTATATTCAGTCTCACCCAAGGGTACTAACCCTCAATCTTAATCATAACTCGGTTAAGAAGCACTGCTAAAGAGTTCTTTCAAAAGTGGGTTTTGAACGTCATTATCTTTACTATACTTTTGGAACCCTTTGTAAGTTGCCCCCTTTGGGAAACAATTGCTTAAACTTTCACCCCATGGCTTGTATTAATATAGATTTAGTTTTGGACTCAATCTTAAATTTAATTTTGGACTTGATCTCAAACTCAATCTCAGATTCGATCTTAAACTTGGTCTCGGACCCAATTTCAGATTTTGGTATAAACTCAGCTTTGAACTTAAACTTAGACTCAGTCTCAAATTTGATATTATCTAATTGTTGTGATTTCAGGATCCTTTAGCCTATAACACCTAAAGGAGTTGGTTATTCACTACTCCACCACCCATAAACAAGTTCAATGCTTACATCAAATATTTTTATTTAATCCCAATCCCATGACTTGTTAACCATGTCTCCAAGAGCATCCCCCCACTTATTAGTGCGTGATGGCAGGGATGATGGTGATCGACAGCATCAACATGAATCTCCTCTTGGCGGAGGCCTCTAATGTCTTCATGCTTCCAGGTATTGCATTGTTGTCACGATCAATCCCATGCATTTGCCACAAGCCCTTACCGAGAGCTCTGTGTCGGATTTCCTCTCAAAATATCCGTTTCTGGTTCTCTCCAGGTAAGATTTCTGTGTCTTTCTTTGTGGGATCGAATGCAATTGAATTCGTCTACTTGGTTCTATTCACCGCAGGAACTCCAGCGCTTGTGAGAGCAATGCTGTCGAGAAGGTCGTTTGGACACAGCATGCTTATCAAAATCCTCGTAAGCTCCCTCCTCGCCTTCATGCTATGATTTTAATTTTCTCTGTATTTTTTTTTTTTGTGTGTTAGCTTTATGCAAATGCTAGTTTAAACGCGGCATCTCCACAACTTCATGCATGATCCATGGTCGTGAGTAGGAACTTATGTTTTCACGTTCGTATTGCTATCTAATCACTGCCCTTGTTTTTCCTCCTTGGATACCTGCCTAAGTGTCTAGAGGATGGCGATTCAAGTTCTGTGCAAACAGCAACCGGTATACTAGGTGTGTGAATGACGCTCACGTTTGCTGGATTTGTTGCAGGGAGTCGAGCGTGGCAAAAGCAGCCATTGAGAAGTTAGCAAAGCCAAGCGCTGGACATGTACGTAGTTCTCGTTATAGCTCTCTAGACATAGATCATCTTTGGTTTCTCCTGATCCGTTGTTCGTTTTCCTGCAGGTTCAAATCCAAGCATTATCTCTGGCAGCTCGAATCTTCGGACTGTCGGATGTAGCGGCAGCGGCACCGGTTTTGCAGGCCAACTATTAAATTCTGGCCCAACTCGAAATTCTGAGCGAGGTATATCTTCTTTTCTATTGTCAAACACTTGTTGTTTCCTAACGGTATTGGTTGTAGCTTGCTGAGACACCTACTGGGGCAAGGCTTCTACTTACTGGTACATTCGTTTCTCACTCGTTTTTTTTGGATCTAGTGAGGTCGTTCTCTTCTAATTGTCTCTAATACAGTTTAAGCTCACTCAGGAATGCTGAAGTCTGGTACGCCTCTCGGGATGACCATGGAAAATCTCGCGAGACGTTCGGAAGATGGGACAGGGATGCAAAGGACAATGCACTAGATGCGCTTGGTCAGCGTAAGTCGTTTCTAGTGTCTGTTGTTTGGATTTGACTACTCTTTTGTCTCTCTTTTATTTTTATCCTTTTTAAGTCCTGCTGCTTCGCCGTGTGAGGCCACCGGCACCTGATGTTGTCTATTCGGCTTTTAATTAGAGCTGGTAGGCTGTTAAATTTTCTTTTTCTGTTGCAAAAACGCTCTCCTGCAGGCTGCTGTTCATGCGTTAGTCGCAGCATTGAGATGTTCTCCTGGATGAACAAGCTGAAAACGTTCTGCGCGATCTCATATCCATGTATCTCCACAGACGACGCTTAAGGTAAGTCGTGAGTTGCTTCAAGCTGTTAGTGCGAGACCATCAACTAACCTTTCGAAAAGCATTTACTTCAAAGAATGTTATTGCAGGTGTATAGGCTCCTCAATTGTCGTACTGGCTTCTGCTGGAAGTCAGCTCCAACGATGGCTTGGTCGAGTTCATCGACGAGAAAGGTAATTGCTCTCTCTGTCTCTCTATGGGATTCAATACACACAGGTGAGGCACGCTTGGTGTGCTCTGGCCACCGGATTGAGGCAGCCATCCTGCTAGTGCGTGGCGATACACAGGAAAAGGTTTACTTTTTGTTGTCAATTGACCCTTTCTCTTCTTTCTCAGCTCGCAGGTGTTAGGACCACATCCAAGCAAGAGACGTTTTAAATGGTATGTCTCTTATAGCAGTGCCTTTCATCAAGTTTTGTCCAGCCTAAATTCTGCACTCGCAAGAAAGGAGCCCAGCTTGGATCATTGCACGTCCGCACATCATCCGATTTGTCATTCCTACGTGTTTTTGTTTGTTTTTTTTCGTGCTTGCTGGTAGCTGCATCTAGTACAGAACAGCTGGCTCAAGAGGATCATGGCTTGATGACTTGTGATTATTATTTCTTCGCACTGGAAAATCATTTTTATTTAATGCTAGTGTACCTTTGGTGATGTTTGCTGAAAGCTGTTCCACGAATTTCCTGCACAGAACAAGTTTGTGTTTTATCGTAAAACGTCTGTTGAGAGCGACCATTTTAGAATGTATTACTTTGGGCGGGAAATATTTAGGGCTTATCAGGGTTTCTCGACAGACAATGCGGGGGAGGAATGCGGGGACGCCGCCGGCTCCCCGTCGCCAGTCGCCCAGGTTTGCGTCTCCCAGCTCGCACTGCGATCCATCACCCAAATCTCCGCAATCACTCGGCCTCTCTCCAGCCCCGCGCTCTGTGAAGCGCGATCTTGGATTTTCGCCTGTGCTGCTAAGGGCAAGATCGAGGAGAAAGAGCAGGGATGGCGATAGAAAGTATGTTTCTAGGATCGAATGGAACGATGGCGTGTTTGAGGTTGGGGAGGATGTCTACGTCAGGAAGCTAGAGTCCGCTGAGCGTGATGAGTCTGACGAGGAAGTGGAAGATTGTAGGGTGTGTGGGAAAGTTGGAGGAGAGGTCATGATCGAGTGTGATGCTTGTCTCGGTGGCTTCCATCTCGGCTGCCTGGAGCCTCCGTTGGAAGAAGTCCCAGAAGGAGATTGGATTTGTTTCAAGTGTGAGAAGAAAGAAGCGGTGGGGGAAGAACCAAGTCGGCGGAGGCATAGAACTGCGCGAGAGAGACTACTGGCTAAGGAGCTTTGGGCTGCTCGTATCGAAAGGTGAAAAAAAAAACTTGTGAAGACCAGCTCGCTAACTTCATCTTTTTCTTTTGTTGTTCTTCAGGCTGTGGATGGAAGCTGATGGCTCACCTTGGTTTTCTGGGAGATGGTATCTTGTGCCCGAGGAAACTGCTTCAGGCAGGCAGCCGCACAATGGAAGTAGAGAACTTTTTCGCACGAAACATGTCGATCACAATGAGGTGCTCGCTCCAAAGGATTTTTTTTATGATTTTTTTGCTTTCGTTTTCATTCACAGGTGGAATCGATTCTCAGGCATTGCTATGTTTTTTGCCCAGAAGATTTTTCTAAAGCTAGCAACGAAGGGGATGATGTGTTTTACTGCGAGTATGAGTATGACATGAAGTGGCACACTTTTAAGAGAATTGTCGACTTGGTAGAGGAGGTACACGTTGATCTAGAAGGTTGTTGGTTTTTACACATAACGCAGGCTGACCACGACTTCGAAGAGTACGACGAGAGTAAGGCTTCGAACAAGAAGCGGAGGTCTTCCACTCCAAACAAAACACCGAACAAAACACCGAAAAGAAAGGTAAATGTAGGCTGCTTTACGATGCAAAAGATTTTTATTTTGTTATATCAGTCTCATACAGAAGTCACTGGATCTGAGGTTTTACGGCGAAAGATCTTTCCCGAAGACAGTGGAAAGGATTTGACTGAAATCGAAAAGGCAAAGATTGCACTTTCACTTTCAACAACTCCAGGCTCTTTGCCTTGTCGTGAAAAGTACGCGTATTCGTTTTAGATTTCTGGTCGTAGTTCTGATCTTCGTGAATCAGGGAATGCAAGGAAATTGAAGCTTTTGTAACGGATGCTCTAAAAGAAGGGTTGGAGAATCTTGGAAAATGTCTCTACATCAGCGGTGTCCCAGGAACTGGAAAGGTATGATAAATTTCCAATGCATGTGATTAATGTTGATGTCATGGCATTAATGTTCCTAACAGACAGCTACTGTTTTGGATGTCATGAGGCGGATGGAGAAGAAACTAAGCTCGAAGGAAATCCAGCCATTTCGGTTTGTGGCAATGAACGGGCTGCGTCTCACGTCGCCGGAGCAAACATACACGGTAATTGCGCAGCTTGACTTATTCTAGGTGTTTCATACAGAGTTTCAGGTTCTTCATGAAGCTCTGACTGGCCAGCGATTGAGCTGGAAGAGGGCACTGCAGCTACTCGATGAACGGTTTTCGAACTGCAAATCTTTGGGAGGGGTCGATAGTCGACCCTGCATTCTTTTGGTCGATGAATTGGATCTTCTGGTTACGCGCTCACAATCCGTAAGATTTTACTTCATCAAATCGTTGAACATTCTACGGTTACTCGCAGGTTCTCTATAATCTTTTTGACTGGCCTTGCCGACCAAACTCGCGTCTTATGGTCATCGGTACGTTTTGAATACATTCTGCTGAGACTCAAGGCTTTTTTGTTTAGGAATTGCAAATACGATCGATTTGCCTGAGCGTTTGCTACCACGAATTGCCAGTAGAATGGGCCTTCAGAGAGTGTCTTTTAGTCCCTATTCGTACATTCAGCTACAGGAGATTATTAGTTTCCGTTTATCAGGGACTGAGGCGTTTGAAAAGCCAGCAGTAGAGTTTGCTTCACGCAAGGTAACGACAGGGACGCCTGACAATTTGTTCTCATCGGAACTGTGTTTTGGAGGTTGCTGCTGTATCTGGTGATGCACGACGAGCGTTGGAGCTCTGCCGTAGGGCTGCAGAGCTTGTGGAGTGCCGACAAAAATCTGGAAACTTGGAAGGTAGATGTACATGCAATGTTTTCGGATGTCCTGACCGTTGCTCAGAATCCAACACTAGATTGATTGGAATGGCCGACGTGGAGGCCGCTGTTACGGAAATGTTCCAGGCACCGCATGTTCAGGTCGTCGACTTAGAAAGCTTTGCTTTGTTACTAACATTCTTTCCTTAGGCAATGCGAATGTGTTCTAAGCATGCAAAAATATTTCTCGTTGCTATGGTTTACGAGTATCACAGGACCGGCATGGTTGAAACAACTTTTGAGCAAGTATGTACATGATATTATATACATCAGCTATCATCTAGCCAGTAATCATGATTCCAGGTTTCAAGAGCGCACAGTCTCTTGTGCTCTAACAATGGCGAGCAACCCCCAGACAAAGACGTTCTACTCTCCATCGGGTACAATTTGTTTTCCGTGTTCACGTGTAACTCGTGAAACTCAGGTGCAAACTCGGGGAGTGTCGGCTGCTACTCTGTGAAACGGGGAGTAGGCACAGGCTGCAGAAACTTCAATTAAACTTCCCCAGGTAGTGGAGTTCTCTCTGTGTTTATATTTTCCAATGCTGACGCCCGTCCCTGGCTAGTGATGACGTTTCCTTCGCGTTAAGAGAGTGCCTTGATCTTCCATGGATAGCAAAGTATTTATCTTAATACAACGCCTTCAATTGGGAATGAGCCCGAGTATAAGTTTCGCGCACACTATCAGATCTCTGGCTACCTGGGACAACGAAAAACTTGAGGAGTTCTTCTCTGATTTGGAGCCGAAGTATCTTCGCGTGTTGATCGTTGCAAGCGAACTCCTGGCTTCGTCGCTGGTGTGATGTACGACCCAGTCGTGATCGAGGACCTGCTCTGGAGTAAGCCTCTTCCTTGGATCTTGGTGGAGCATTCCTCTAATAAGATCCTTTACTGAAGGTGAAGCATTGGACCAATACTCCGGGTCGAAATCAATCCTGGCCGCTTCGATCGCGTGTATAGTCGATTTGAAGGTGTTGCCATGGAAGGGGAAGTTTCCACTGAGAATTGCGAAGATAACGACGCCAGAGCTCCAGATGTCAATTTCCTTGCTGTATCTCCGCTTGAAAACTTCGGGGGCCATGTAGCAGAGAGTTCCTATGAGATCCGAAAGATACTCTCCGGGCTGGAAGTGTGCTGCAAGTCCGAAGTCGGCTAGTTTGAAGCAGTTGTCGCCCAGCAGGATGTTCTTGAGGCTGATATCCCTGTGAATTATTCCATTGGAGTGGCAAAACTTGACGGCCTCCATCAGGTTCTTGCACAATTGAGCAGCTTCCATCTCACTCAAAAGGCTTCCATTCGAGAACAGGCTACCTCCTCTGCAGAGCTCCATGACAAGGTAAGTCTCCTTTTCATCGCTGAATGCTGCTTCCAGCTTCACTATGTTTGGATGGCCATACAGCTGCTTGAGAATCCCGACCTCATCTTGGTGCAAGTGTTCTATTTTTGTGATTTTTTTGCAAGCAAGCTCCTCACCTGTGATCCTGTCTATGCAGACTCGCGCTACACCAGACGCGCCGTGGCCGAGTTCCTCCCCCAGCTTGTATTTCTCACAAAGGGACCCCCTGGCGGAGTTCATACACGGGACGAGTCCGCAGAAGAAAACGCAGAAGCACATCACTGATAAAGGTGGACTCTGAAGCGTTTTTTTTTAGCCGTAGTCTTTATATAAGGGGTGCGACATGTGAAGATCATGGGAGCTGCATGAAAAGGAACAGTTCGCATTGATCCGAGTTATTAGCAGCTACAAGCAACTGACAGCTCTTGTTTAACAGATGAACACTCAAAAAGAACTGTGGAAGCGAAGCGAGGTAGTACACGCATTGAATCGGTCAAGCAGACGTACAGAAGATTCGAAGCTATGGGCCTTCTGCGACTTTTTACGACACGGAATCCGGGCCGTGGCTTGTGACGGAATCCTACGGCTGGCCATCCGGGAAAAGTTTCAAAAGCTTTGGAAGGCGAAGGTGAAGCATCATGTGAATTACGCACACCTCGCGGCTACGAGTGGCTCTCCCGACATGGCGCGCTGCCAGGAACTCACGAGGCTCTCCGTAAGTTTCTTGCCAGATCCATTTCTTTGATACGTTCTCGTGTTTTATTTTTTACAGGGGTCTACCTCTGGTGAAGCCACGAGCCATGATCATCTGAAGTGGCAGGGGACCCGGCATTTTTCGGCTGCCGCAGCTCAACTTGGTACAAAAGATTAAACTTGTTTGTTGATGTGGTTTTCTTCCAGGATCTACCGACGAGGAGATACAGTACAGTGGCTGGGTTGAGAAAATCAACAACAAGGGGGCTGTCCAACCTCGAGTGATGGTGGTGAGTAACCTGGCGGTCTACAACTTTAAAAGCAGGCTCACGGTGCAGTGCAAGCGCCGGATTGACATTTGTGCTGTCGTGCACATCGTACGGAGCAAGTATAGCCATCAGTTCATCTTGTGCTGCCCGCAGGTCTTGTAGCTTCCTTTTACATTTTGTCGCTACTCTTTTGACAAAGGTTTATCGGTGCAGGAGTACGATTACTTATTCTCTAGCATCCAAGTAGAAGAGATATGTGACATCATTGTCGCGGTTCATAAAGCTGCGACTGGGAACACAATATCAGTCGAATATAAGGTAGCGTGTCATTGTGTGATTTCTTACTTTATACCATGGAAGTTCACAGGTTGAGGTGGATTTGTCGGAGTTTGTTCTCACCAGGCAAGAAGCGAAGAAGATTAGAAAGGTATATAATCATTTAGTAAGTCAGATGGATGCGAGAAGCAATAATTTGATTCGTTATCTTCTACTAGGAGCATCCCGAGCTGGCGCTGAAGAACAGTGCCGAAGATCCAGTGCAAGTTAAAACAAAAACCGTACGTATTCTCAAACTTCCGTTTGATGCTTTCTTATCCTTTTGTTTAGAACAATGTGGCACAGCCTTCCACGATGACGCAGATGAAGGCAAACGTAAGACGTGTTTTGCGTGCTTATCATCCATGACTATCTTTGTGTTTTACCGCTCCAGGGAATGTCTTGGAGTGTGGAGGACGCGACACCCTCTTCGAAGCTGTTACCGGAAAACCACGTAAGCAAATGCATGATCATTATATCATTGTATTAATTCGTTTGCCTCGATGTGCCACACAGCCACCGTCAGCGGCACTAAAAGACGTGGTGGTCCTCGGCCACGATGTTGGCGGTGATAGCACAGACGATCTCAAAGTTTTTAAAGTTATTGACGAGGTGAGAGTCCACTTCCCATTTGGTTAGTTTCGCTCTAACGAGCTTTTCCACACACAAATTCCTCTCTCTTGTCAGCTCTACGTTATGAAGAACAAGAAAACCGGCGAGACCTTTGCGCTCAAGCCAGTGGAGTCGCAGTCTCAAACTCGTCAGCCGAGGTAAAGTCTATCGCCCACTCTCATACGTGTTCCAAAACATCGCCCAAAACTTTCCAGAGGCTCTCTCGTCTCGAGGTGTTGCTATCGCCACCCGCTTTGTATAAGCCTTGTGTTGTTTCAGGTACCAATTCTCCGGGTGGTAGTTTTCACATCGTCCTTCTTGCCTTGCAGATGGTAATGTTTTGCTCGTTTCTCTTGGCGCTCAAGCACATTGTCAGCTCATGTCAATGGAGACGATAGAAAAGGAAACCTTGTGGGGGACCAATTTGACATAACGAGCCCCGCGACAAAGAAAGAGATTCAAGCGGCAGATAAAAACGAGCTACCACCGGCCTTGCGAAGAAAAGAACGAACAAAGAAAAAGAAGAAAGTTAAAGCGTACCCAGTGCTAGGAATGACAAAACGGAGATAGTGCAGTGTACGTGCAATGATCCAAGCCGGGCTTCACTGATACAAACGAGTTGATATAAGACCAGTGTTTCTGCTATAAAAGATATACCATTTAAAACCTCTCTTGGGTGGCGACCACTGGAATCGCTTGTGCGTGGCCCTTGGACAGGTAAGGACCCCTGCGAGCTGCCTCATTCAGCTACAAACACGCATAAGACAAACAAAGAGGCTATGAGAAAAAAAGAGACGAACCTTTTCCAGTGTATCGCCACGCACTGACAGGATGGCTTGTCTCAATCCGGTGGCCAGAGCAGCACAGCAAGCGTGCCTCCATTCCATGCCTGTGGTGTGCATTGAACTTCAGCTCTTGCCACGACCCGTGGAGAGAAAAATAACTACCTTGTTTGCTCGATTCGATACGCGCGTCGACGATGAAATCGACCAAGCCATCGTTGGAGCTGACTTCCAGCAGGCACCACGTTCTGGAAGCCAGCGGGACAAGGAGCCTATACACCTGCAATAACATTGTTTGACGTATTCAGTTTTGGAAAGTTGATGGTCTCGCACTTACAGCTTCACGCAACTCGGCCGTTTGTTTGAGGAGGTGAAGAAGGGAATTCTGAACGAGCACAAAGGAATTAAAGTCGGTTGGAGAAGGCCGGCTTACCGAAAGCGTCTTCTGCGAAGATACATGGATGGCGTCAAAGATGAGATCGCGCAGAACGTTTTCAGCTTGTTCATTCAGTAGAACATCTTCCCTTTCGGATCCTGCGATTAACGCCAGAGCATGAATACCAGCCTGTAGGAAAGCACTAGTTTTTGCAACAGAAAAGGAAACTTTAAAAGCCTACCAGCTCTGGTTTAAAAGCCGAATGGACAACATAAAGCGCTGGTGGCCTCGCACCGCGGAGCAGAAGGACTTGAGCACCATGCGAAACTATTTCACACAATTTAAAAGGACAAAAAAGAAAAGAGAGGGAGAAGAGTAGTCAAATCCAAACAACAGACAAAAGAAACGACTTACGCACATGATCCAATCTGACCAAGCGCATCTAGTGCAGCGTCCTTTTCATCCTTGTCCCACCTTTCCGAACTTCTCGCGAGATTTTCCACACGCCCCAGGCAGTTGCCAATTGCATCGATGATTTGCAGTGCATCTACATGCAAACAAAAACTGCTCAAGTGACAATCATTTTATGTGGCGTACCAGGCTCTGAAATAGTTTTTATCAATCTAGACGCAACTTGCATCGAGCGGGAACGCACCATACTATCCACTTCAGCATTCCTGAATGAGATAAAAAGTATTAGAGTCTATTAGAAGAGAGGAAAACATATTAACAAGCTCACTGGATCCAGAAAACGAGCTGAGAAACGAATGTACCAGCAAGTAGAAGTCTCGCACCAGTAGGTGTCTCGGCAAGCTACAGATCAAATTACGTTAAGGAAACAACAAGTAAAAAAAAAAGAAAGGGAAAAATACCTCGCTCAGAATTTCGAAAGCGTTCAGTTGAGCCAATGTATCACTAGAATTTTTTAGTTGACCTTCTAAAACGAACAAGATCCCAGATGTTTGGACTGCCGCTGCCGCTACATCCGATAGTCCGAAGATTCGTGCTGCCAGAGACAACGCTCGGATTTGAACCTGCATGAAAACGAACCCGGTGATTAATACATAACGACTGGTCAGGACATACCAAAGATGATCCGTGAATTGCGAGCTCCTTGAGGCTGTTCTGGCTCGCACCAAAAATGATCTCCTATAATCTCACCAGTCAGCTAGAGAGTTATAACGAGACTACGGACTACGTACAAGTCCAGCGTTTGATTTTGCTAGATTCTCAATAGCATCTGAGGCTTCTTTTGCCACGGTCGAGTCCCTGCAAGAAAACCAACAAACGTGAGACGTCATTCACACACATAGTATGCTTGTTTACTCGTCACATAAAGTGCTCAGTAACGGGTCCATGATGCCAGCATCCGCTGCTGTTTGAACAGAACTTGAATCACCATCCTCCAGATACTTCGTTATCTGCCAGGAATCCAAGGAGAGAAAAAAAAGGGCAGTGAACACGAAACGTGAAAGCATAAGTTCCTACTCACGGAGAAGCATGCAAGACGACGAATCTGTGGAGATCCCGCGTTTAAACCAGCATTGGCATAAGGCTAACGCAAAAGGAGGTTAGAATCGTAAGCTTTAAGACGAGGAAGGAGCTTACGAGTACTCCGATAAGCATGCTGTGTCCAAACGGCGATTGTAAGATCTTCTCGACAGCATTAACAATAGCACTCACTAGCTCTGGAGTTTCTGCAGTAGATAGAACGCTGTCCAACAAGACGAATTCGATCGCAAAAATCCCACAACAACCAGAGATCTTACCTGAAGAGAACTGGAAACGGATATTTCGCGAGGAAATCCGACACAGAGCTCTCAGGGAGGGCACCTGGCAAATGCGCGGGTGAAAGGGAGAAGAGACAAGAATGCAATACCTGGATGCGCGGCGAGATTAGAGGCCTCCACCAAGAGGAGATTCGTGTCGACGCTGTCGATCGCCATCATCCCCACCATCGCGCGAGAACAGAGAAACAGAGCGCAAAACCCTAGATCCGTAAGATATAACTAGGGTTTGTAGCTATGGCGGGAAAATAATTAAAGTCGATATAAAAGCCTTTTTATAGGAAGTGACACATTATTGGAAAATTGAAAATAATGTTACAACAGTATTGTCTGTTGAAGGATTTTTCTTCAATTATAGATAGGTCTTAAGAAATTTTCATTAAAACCAGGTGTGTCAAACTGGAGCTTGAGCTCAGTGAATCAAACGAGCCCTTGAAAATCTCTAGCAACAATCTGAAAAAAGAACTGGTAAGCTCTATTTCGTTAAAGTGGGATTTATTCAGTAAAATGGGATTAGGTACAAATTTTCAAGTATTTGAAAATGACGTGAAATTATATGTTTTTTGTCCAGGGGCTAGACATATCTGGGGCATGGTGACTAGCGCGGTGACTTTATGTCCAGACTGAGTCCATCTGGTTGTATAATAAATCTCATTGTCAAGGTGAACAATCTGAATCTGAAGCTAAAGAAGAGCGATGGCATGCGCGCACACACTATTTGTTTGTTCATTAAGCGTGTGGTGAGCTTTCCAAGATGAACGTCATTCCTATTAGCCAGACATATAACTTAATGGTGAGAACATTTAGATATTATTCAATGTTATCTTTTTCTAACGAATCTAATTGTGAAGGTGTAGCAAGAGGCATTGCTAGTCTGGAGAAGTCATTTAACTCATTTGACCCTTGAAATTTTCATGAAACTAAATAACATTCATATTATTAAGGAATTTCTCTAGTACCTTTTTTTTACGACATAGAGGCTTGCATTTCTTTCAAAGGTGATTTAGTAAAAGGCCTGAGGGCACATGCCATTCTATTTCTCAGACCGGTATTAAGATATACTAGTGCAAAGGGAAAAAGGTATTTGGTGATCAAGTAAATGGCATGAGGGCACACGCCATTATAAGCCTAAGTGCTAGTGGACACCTCCTTTTTGGTACTCTCAGCGGTACTATCATCCTTCTCCGGGTCAGTTGTTTTGCTTTGGATTGTTGTCTTTGACGTTACTGGGGCGTTCTCGATAGTTGTTAATGTTGCCGTTTGTTCAGAAAAATGATCACCTGGAGTATAGTACGGGGAGTTTGGAAGACTTATATATTCTACATCTTCACCTATCTCCTTCTCCGTCTCCTTTTCTGCCTCACCTACAGATTTTGTGCTTGCCATGAGAACGCTCTTCACCCTAAAATATGGAGTTCGTTGTGTTATAAAAGGAAACCAACACACACGCTACAAGGGAATGATGGTACATAAAGCACGTAAGCCCACAATATAGGTTTATGTGCCATTAATATGGGCCACACGCCATATTATTAGATTTATGCACGTGTGATTGGTAAATGCATATGTCACATCATTTTTGTTTTACCTCACACACTATATCAAGCCTCCTCTGATTCAGATTCGGATTGTTCACCTTGAAATAAAATACATTAGAAACTTAGTAAAGGAATATTAATGAATCTCACCTTGAACTCGGGTTATGAATGCTCTTGCTGCATCTCTTGCATGGTCTGGCAAGGTGATGATGGCACTCTGCTTCCGCATCCAACCATGCACAACATTATCCACCGATATGCTCATGCTGGGATCCCTTGGATTCAGCACCCATCTCTTTTCTAGGCAATCCTTCGTATATCCAGAACTTGGCTTGAACCACTCCACAGTTACATTGAAGGAGTTAGTTTCCGCGTCCTCCTCTGCATCAGTGATGCAGCGCCCCACCCATATCATTTGTTTTTTATTACTGGGTCTAACAAGCATGACCATTCCTTTGCAGACCTGTACTGGATTGAATGCTGAATCCGGCTTCTTGTTCCTCGGCCCACAATAGTGATCCTCAACATCGTTATCTGTCACTGCATTTCCAGAGGACATTGTTCCGCTACTATCTGGTGCTCTGGGTTCTGGCCAAAAGGACTCTTCCAATTCTTCATATACAATCGGCCCATTTTGGATAGTAGATATAATCTTCTCCCAGTATTCGAGCAAAGGCTTGCACCTCTGAAAATAGGATTCTCCACCAAACACCAACCCCCTCTTCCAGAAGGCAATATGCTGTCTAATCCCGGCCACTATACTTTCCTGGTCTTTGAGTCCATCCGGGTGCATCGGCCGTGGGGAACCCTGAGGAATCATAGGTTCCCCAGTTATGGGATCTCTCTTGAAGAGTTCAATGCCGTCCACTGGCAGCCACACTGTGTCCCATTCTCTCATCTTGTACCTCATCACTGGAGCACTGTCACGCATGCTGAAATGAAACTGAAGAGGCTTGGAGTGGCCAATCAGCATTTCGGATCCATCCCTAATGTAGCCTCTTACAAACCCCTTAAAGTTTGGAACCTCTGTCACAAGTGCAGCTTCAACAGTGCCTTTGATGCAATTTTGGAATTCATCGTAGAGTTGTGGGAGGGTGAGGACATTGGATCGCTGGAGGGACTCTGCCAGGTGACTGAACATGGCATCGACGTCTTCATGAGTGTGCCCAACCATGAGAAAGCCAAGTGTAACCGTTTCAAATATGCCTTTGGCAACAAACATCGCCAAGTACGCGAAGACGTACATGTTTTTGTTCTCACTGCCAGCATTGTCTGTTTGGAGCAGAAGATGGGGTGGAAGGCCACATCGGCCGCAAGAACTTCCTTGAGATTCTGCTTCGTTTGGATGAGGCTGTGCATTCACCGGGCGACTAGCCTCGTCGGAATGGCATGAGGCCTCACGTGATAACCCTACAATCTGACGGCCAACATATTCACTGGGATGGCATGGGGCCCCACGCGATACTGCAAGCCTTTGCTCCTCCTCCAGCTGAACCCTGTATGGGGTTCGATTGACAAGGGCCTTATGCAAGGGTTGGCCGTTCAGCTCAGTCTGCGCACTTTGCAGAGACCTTAAGTGTTTTGCTAGGGACGCAATCATCATGTTTGCACCCCTGCCACCCCATAGAGGTACAAAGAAGTTCCCATAGTTCTGGGCACCATGCCCATGAGCGATTATGCCAAACAGAGACACAGGCAGTTGCATGGATGAAGAGATTGCCTTGGGGGCAGGATTGAGTCGAGGTAAGCACGTCTTTTTCTGGTCCATTTTGTCGTGGATGATGCAGAGGTAAGAGTCAGGTCTCTCCATGGAGAGAATCCTGTTATGATAATATGCAGTCCTGCAGCTTCTCTGCTCGATGTTGTGGTCGAGCCGCCTTCTAACTAACGTCTCTCGCTCTTGAGCGATGCAAGAATTCTTCGACAAAGCCATTTTGATAGCAGTGCACTCGTCATACTTTGAAAAGCTGGAGTACTTTCTTATACTCACATCCCTGAACCTGTTGCTCCACAATCGACTAAATCTAGATTGGCTCAGCTTCCTGTAGCCATTACTCTGGAGTTCCCGATTCACATTTTCCAATATGGCCCCCTTGGTATACATGGAAGGGAGAACTCGTTGGGTGTCTCGAGTTCCATCTTCCAAGAGGCGGGTTTTATGTGGTTGCTGCTCGCTACATGTCTCGACAAACCTCTTGAAGATTGCTTCTCCATATACAACATGACCCCTGGTTTTTTGAGTACCGTCGTTCCCATGGACTGCCTGTTGAACCCTTTGTTCCTCGAACTCAGTTTTGATTCTATAAAATGTGGTTCGAGGGACTCCATAAATGATTCTCCATGCCTTCATGCATACCAAACCCCTCTGGAAGACCATGCCCCCCACCTGATGTTCTGAAGCATCAACAGATGACCGTAATGCCTCATACACAAAATTGCGAGCTGCCTTCCAGGACAATGTTTTGTATCTTGCTCTCTCCTCTTCAATAGCATCCCAATCAGCATGTTGACAGCACCTCCTCTTGCAACAAGCAACTGTCGAGACCATTCGAACCTCCATCGCCATTTTCTGCCTTTTCGGTTCGTTGCTCAGATCCCTTTGGCTGCGCTTTAGGAAGGTGTATTTTCTTTTCCCATGAAGAAATGTTCTGTCATCAGTTGTAGTGGTGTTTGATTGTGAATCCTTCACATTCTCAAACACTAAGTGCCTCAATTTCCACCGCACAATGCTTCCAATAGTCAGACTGTTTTCTTCTGTGTCAACAACCTCTAAAATCGCAACTCCAATATCATCCTAGCCCAATTCTTGATTAGCAACCGCATCTCTTGGATCGACAACTATGGCTAAGCCCTCAGCTACCACCTCCCCCTCGGGGTTGTTTAGAAACACCTTCGCCTGAATCTATGTCGCACGGTTTTTAAGATCCACGGAGGGAACATGCGTCGCACTTGCGCTGTCCCCAACATCTGCTTTCTTCTGAAGATTTTTCAAGGCAACAACAACATTTACCCCGACGACCATCTCTCCTCGTTCAATAGCGACCACATTCCCATCGAAGACAGTCTTTACTGATACAGCAGCATTGCCTTCCCCAAGCCTTTGACAGTGTATAACAAAGTTCCGATCCATAGACACAAGGGTCCTTTTTGCAACTCTCTTCCCACCATTCAAAATGTAAACCTTTTCCCCAACCCTGAAGGCCATTCTGAAAGTGCAGAAAAGAAGTTAAAACCATACAAAAAATGATTGGAGAATGGCCTAAATCATAACATACCAAACAACCTCAATAGCATGAGGCCACATGCCATTATTCAAACATGCTATTGACACCCACGTGAAATTTTGCATTCACAAAATTGGCATGAGGCCTCATGCCATCTTGATATACACACAGCTGCAGGCAAGTAAAAACATACATGACAATACGCTAGCCATGAAATTGCAAGGGCCCAAGATGGCATGTGGCCTCATGCCATTTCTAAATGTGGTCCTAAGCCATTCCATGGTGAACATACCAGGAAGCACAAGTGCCGAATATCAAGAGGAAGCGGTAGCCACACCAAAGATAGTGCCGCTCGCAACACCGCAACTACTCGTAGTGCCGCTCGCAACACCGCAACTGCTCGTAGTGCCGCTCGCACAAACTGCCACTCGCATAAACTGCCG